CCCCCCCCGGTATCTAGCAGAGTCTTGGGGCTTACAAACACAATAGAAACCAAATACAAAAATACAGAAAAGGACTAAAAACCAAAAGTGTACAGTAGTGAACCAAGAGATGTCATGACTCAAGTGCCTTCTGGAGGAGCTCAGCATCTCTAGGGTGGGAATGTATCTAATCTCAAGCAGGAGGCCATTCCAAAGGGCCTGCATTGCCACAGAAAATCAACACTACCAAGCATTGGCTCCTTTGAGCTGCTGAATGTAGAGAACAGTCAGCTGCCACCAAATTCTGTGATAGTCAGAGATTATATATTTTTAAAAAGGATGAGATAATTGGTCTCAGCCGTAATGCTTAAATCATACCTTCAGATTTGTTGGTAACATTCTTCTCAGTGTTAATTGCTTGGAAGAAATAAACAATAAATGAGGGTTAATTCACTGATGCTCTGCCACTGTTGGTAGCTGGATGCTGAACATTTTAACATAGGGTATGAGTGTGCAATCTGTGGCCCACCAGATGTTGGTGAACTGCAACTCATAGCATTAATCACCACTGGTTATGCTGACTGGGCTGCTGGGAGTTGTACATTTGGCTTAGTGTAATTTATGAACTCCATTATTGTGATTTGGTCAACAAACCATTACTGCCTTGGTTCACACAGCATGCTAATTTAAAATTTGGCTTATTTGGCTTTGGTTGAGCATGTTATATAAATCCAGTCATTATGGTTTGGAACCCACCGTCTGTGGCTTAGCATGAAAAGTGAATCCAGCCAATTGTGGTTTATACAACAAACTGTTAATGAAATGTGCAAATCTAATTGTTGTGTTGCTAGATGTAGATTTCAGATCCATGAGCATAGTTTATATAGTGTTTCAGGACTTTAAAAGACATCATCAACTTAAACTTTGTGTTGGTGTTGAATAAGAAAAATTTAGTATATCAAAACAAAGGTATTTTTCCATACCTTCATTCTTGTTTTTCAAGTTTCTCCTCATAGTAGCCTGCCAGAATTGATGTGGTAGATGCTATATTTCTGTCAAGGGGTGTTATTTATTTTATTAATTTCTGAACTTGTTCACCTAAGATGTATCAGGAATTTTTTGCCCTCCCCTAATATACAGCTGGAAAGTCAGCTAAATGCTATTGCAGAAGGACTGACTTGGATGTCTTCTCAAAGACTAAAAGTTTGAGCTGCCAACATGAGATGAATGTAGTTTGAGATTTGCAGTCAATGGCATGCTTGTGAATATTTTTGGCATTTCTGGCCCACCACAATGAAGCATTATTTTGTATAAAAGCAGAGGGAGAGACTCCCACTGAGTAGAAGACACTGACATTTGTCTATATGTCAAATCCTTGGCGCTGGGATCTACTTACAATGCAGAGCAACTTTGTCTTGGATGACTATAAATAGCTTTTTTGACTTCATCCAGCCAAAAGTGAATTGCTGTTGATTAGTAAAAGGTATTGCAATATAGAGGAGTAGGCTTTTTTGGCTTGGTTTTAAATACAAGACAGATTTCTTGGCTGCTTATATATTTGTAAGACTTTCAGACCTTGAAAGTTCATTGGCCATATTTCAGGGAGAAGACATGCTTGCTCATTGATTCTGTTTGCAAAACTAGGAACCTAAATTGTATTTCAGCTTGTAAAAAGTAGCTGCCTATTGATGGTGTGGTATTGTTTTGTCCTTCACAAAGGATGTAGGATCTAATCAAACTGTGCAAAAGGGAAAGGGAATAAAATATACCCTGTAGACATGTAAGGGTAAATTTGACACATTCACTCTAGTGAAATTATCATTTTTCCAGGTTTCAGTTACACACATCTTAATTGATATGATTAGAGAGGAGTTAAACTTACTTTCAGAATATATTAGAATAGATTTGGGCTCTTGAAAAGAGCTTTATGACTGGAAGCCTCTGCATGATTATCTTGGATTAAGCTACACTGAATATAATGAGACTTAGGTCTGAATAAACATTCTATAAGAGATGAATTTTTCATAGTCTGAGTTGAGAATATTCCTTATCTGTGTACTTCTCTGTGCCATTCTTCAAACTGGATCTAATAAATGTTTCCAAATAAAGCATGAGAAAATATACCAGTAATAGAAACAGAACGTTACAAAGACTGCTTTCACATATTGTGCTAGATTATAGTGTTCAATTGTAGGAAACAAAATATTTCCTATAACATATTTTCTACACAAAACCATTGGAAAGAAGGTATGTCTGTTGCCTGTGAAAATACCTGAAGGAATTAGGTTTTGGTCTGCCTTGACTGGAAGAATAAGATAAGATAAGCATGAAAAGTTTCTGCTCCATGTCCTACCTAATCAACCCTTTATATGGAAAGGACTATGTGCATTGAATCTCTTCTATGTATTTATGTAGCTGATTAGCTCTTAGGAGATTGATTTGTCTTAAGGCTGGGATGTATTCAAATGTTTAATAATGATGGTAATGACAGAACTGGTATAGAATGCAGTGCCCAAATTACTGATGGGGAGACCCACCACTGCAGAATAGCATTTGTTTTGTGATATGCACACTGGTAGTCTATAAGCTTCCAGACCCAATTCAAAGTGCTAATGATTTCCTATAAAACCATATATATTGTAGTACTGGGTTATTTCAAGGATCACTGCATCCTGCTCAACCTCTGAGAACATCTAGAGAAGATCTGTTTAAGGTTCCCCTCCACAAGAGATGACAGAGGCATGGACTAGAAGTCAGACCTTCTCTGTCGTTGCCTTCACCTTATGGATCACGCTGCCCCCAGAGGGGTGCTTAACCCCTTCACTCTTGACATCCAGGAGGGCCCTGAAAATGTTTCTTTCCCAATGGGCACTTAGTTGCTAA